GGCATGGCCTCTCGTGTCCTTGTCTCTGGTCTCCCCCGGTCCCTCCCTCCCCTTCCCCCGGGGCCTGCCCCTACCTGCGTTCCCTGCGTCGAGGGGCGGCAGCGCGCCGCTCCTCACTCCTCCGAGTTTCCCCCGACAGAGGCTCCGCTGCAGACTCTCCACATGGACGTGTGGGGTCCAGCCCGCGTCCGTGGACAGGGTCACGAGCGTTACTTCCTGCTGGTGGTTGACGACTACTCGCGTTACACCACAGTCTTCCCCTTGCGCAGCAAGGGTGAGGTCACTGAGGTGTTGATCGACTGGATCCGCGTTGCTCGTCTCCAGCTCAGAGAGCGTTTCGGCTCGGACTTTCCTGTTCTGCGTCTGCACTCCGACAGAGGCGGAGAGTTTTCCTCTGACCTTCTGCGAGCCTTCTGTCGTGCGGAGGGCATCCGCCAAACGTTCACGCTTCCGGCCTCTCCACAGCAAAATGGGATTGCTGAGCGCCGCATTGGCATGGTCATGGATGTCGCTCGTACGTCCATGATCCATGCGGCTGCTCCCCATTTTCTGTGGCCGTTCGCAGTTCAGTACGCGGCGCATCAGATCAACCTTCAGCCCCGGGTCTCCCTGCCGGAGACCTCCCCTACTCTGCGGTGGACGGGGAAGGTTGGTGATGCGTCTGCGTTCCGTGTCTGGGGATCTCGAGCTTTCGTCCGAGACCTGTCTGCGGACAAGCTGTCCTCCCGTGCTGTTCCTTGCGTCTTTCTCGGCTTTCCCCCTGACGCGCCTGGTTGGCAGTTTTACCACCCCACCTCGCGTCGTATTCTGTCCTCCCAGGACGTCACGTTTGACGAGTCGGTTCTGTACTACCGTCTCTTCCCCTACCGCACTGCCCCCCTTCCCCCCCCGCCGCTCTTCCTCGCGCCCGGTCCCCTCCCGGTAGACCCCCTCCCCCCTCAGGGTCCTGCCCCCTCAGGTGTGTCCCAGGTAGATGCAGTCGAGCCTGTCGAGGTAGCTGTTGACTCTGGTGCTTCTGGGGGTGCTGAGCCTGAGCGTGCGGAGCCTGGGGGTGCTGGGTCTGGGGGTGCTGAGCCTGAGCGTGCGGAGCCTGGGGGTGCTGCTTCTGGGGGTGCTGAGCCTGAGCGTGCGGAGACTAGGGGTGCTGAGCCTGGGGTTGCTGAGAGTGGGGGTGCGGAGCCTGCCGGTGCTGGACCTGGAGGTCCTTCGGGTGCTTTGTCCCGGCGGGAGCTTCCCTCTCCACAGGAGCTGCGCGAGTGGTTTGCTCGGCGCTGGAGCCGTGCTGCTGGAGCTGGAGGTGCTGCCGGTGCTGGAGGTTCTGCTGCTGCTGGAGGTACTGGAGCTGGAGGTGCTGCTGGAGCCGGTGCTGGAGGTTCTGCTTCTGCTGGGGGTGCTGGAGCCACGGGTCCCGGAGGTGCTCGTACTGGAGGTACTGGAGCTGCTGGGCCTGGTGGTGCTCCTGGTGCTGGAGCTACTGGTGGAGCTGGAGCTGGTGGTGCTGCTGGAGTGGGTGCTACTGGAGGTACTGGAGCCGGAGCTGCTGTGTCTGCCGGAGGTCCTACTGGAGCTGGAGCTGCTGGAGGTACTGGAGCTGGTGGTGCTGCTGGAGTTGGAGCTGACGCTGGGGGTACTGGTGTTGTCCCTGCTGGTTCTGGAGGTGCTGCGCGGCCGCGGCCGTACTTCGTTCCGCTCCTTGAGCAGGTTCTTGGTCTTCCGCCTTCTTCTAGTCCTGCTCCTTCCTTAGAGTGTCCACCGCCTGTCCAGTCCGAGTCACAGTTACAGCTGGCCTCCCCTCTCCCTGCTCCTTCTCCCTACACTGGTCCTACTGGAGGTCTTGCTGAGCGTCGTGAGCCTGAGTCGCGTCCTGCGTCGCCTGTTCGTACTGCTCGCACTAGTCGTCGTGTTCCACGTCAGCGTCCTCCTGCGGTCCCGGGCACGCATCAGATGGCACTGCGTCCTTCCACTACACCACAGCGTGTCCCTTTGCCGTCTCCTCCAGAGTCCTCTCTTCCTGCTCTTGCTGACCCGGCGTCTGACTCCCTTCGTGCTGCCAGTCCTACTGTCACGCGTTTCCTAGCCACTGCTGTCACTGACCCTTCCTTTGAGTCCGCTGCTGCGTCTGCCTTAGTTGCCGAGCTTGTCGACTTCGCTGCTCACTGTCGTCTAGACTACGCCGCTAGTCTTGTTGCTGAGTCTGCGTCGGTCTGTCCTCCGTCCGTCGGGGGTGAGTGTGCTCTTAGCACGGACGTCCTTGAGGACAGGCAGGAGGAGTTCCAGTGTTTTGCAGCTGCTTTACCTCATCTCGTGTCATTGCTGCTTGCCCCTGAGGGAGACCCGGATGCACCAGACATCCCGACCCCGCGCTCTTACGCAGAGGCGATAGAGGGTCCCTACTCCTCTCAGTGGCAGGCAGCCATGGACGCAGAGATGGCTTCCTGGAAGTCCACAGGCACCTACGTCGACGAGGTTCCCCCACCTGGGGCGAATATCGTCAGTGGCATGTGGATTTTCAGGGTGAAGCGGCCGCCGGGTTGTCCGCCTGTCTTCAAGGCGCGTTACGTGGCTCGAGGCTTCAGTCAGCGGCAGGGAGTTGACTACTTTCAGACCTTCTCCCCGACCCCGAAGATGACCACTCTTCGGGTTCTGCTGCATGTCGCTGCTCAGCGTGACTACGAGCTTCACTCCCTTGACTTCAGCACTGCTTTCCTACAGGGCAGCCTGCACGAGGAGATCTGGCTGCGCCGCCCACCTGGCTTCACTGGGTCGTTTCCTCCTGGTACCCAGTGGAGCCTCCGATGGCCAGTCTACGGTCTCCGCCAGGCACCCCGTGAGTGGCACGACACACTGAGGACTACGCTTGCAGCTCTTGGGTTTGGTCCTTCTACTGCTGACCCGTCGCTGTTTCTTCGCACCGACACCTCGCTGCCGCCGTTCTACATCCTCGTGTACGTCGACGACTTGGTCTTTGCTACGGCTGACACTGCTGGACTTGCCCACGTGAAGTCCGAGCTGCAGAAGAGACACACGTGCACAGACCTGGGTGAACTGCGCAGCTATCTTGGCTTGCAGATCACCCGGGACAGAGCACGGCGCACCATTACCCTGACTCCGTCACACATGGTGCAGCAGGTCCTTCAGCGCTTCGACTTCACGTACTCCTCGCCTCAAGCCACTCCTCTGTCTACTCGCCACTCGCTCTCAGCTCTGCCTTCGGATGAGTCCGTAGAGCCGAGTGGCCCATACCCAGAGCTGGTTGGCTGCCTCATGTACCTGATGACCTGCACTCGACCTGACCTGGCATACCCTCTTAGCATCTTGGCTCGCTATGTTGCTCCTGGGAGACACCGACCAGAGCACTTGGCTGCCGCGAAGAGGGTGTTGCGCTACCTGTGCAGTACGTCGGGCATGGGGCTCGTGCTTGGAGGGCGGAGTCCAGTGGTCCTCACTGGTCACGCAGACGCGTCTTGGGTTGACGACCTGGCTACTCAGCGGTCTTCACAGGGTTACACCTTCAGCCTTGGTTCCGGTTTTGTTTCGTGGCGGTCTACCCGCTCGTCTTCTGTTCTCAGCTCCAGCTGTGAGGCTGAGATCTACGCAGGAGCCATGGCTGCACAGGAGTTACGCTGGCTCACCTACCTGCTGACTGACCTGGGAGAGCCGCCTCGTTCTCCTCCAGTTCTGTACGTAGACAACAAGGCCATGCTGGCCTTGTGTCGGGAGCACAGACTGGAGCACAGAACGAAGCACATTGCTCTTCGCTACTTCCTTGCTCGTGAGCTGCAGCAGCGTGGTCAGCTGCGCCTTGCTTACGTAGCCTCTCAGGCCAACACTGCTGATATCTTCACCAAGGCGCTTCAGCCTTGTGATCATCAGCGCTTCTGTACTATGCTAGGTCTTGTGCTTACTATGCTAGGTCTTGTGCTTACTTGTACCTGCTTACAGGCTACTAATGGATCTAACGGAGCAGCTACTAATGGATATGCTACTAAAGCAGCTGCCAGCTGATGGGGTAATTAGTCGCGATGTAACTGGTCTCACGATCAACGGACTGACGGACAGAGGAAGGGGAGGAAACGACGGAGGTTTAGCTGGTGTATTTGCGGGAGAAAGTGGGGAAAAATGGGCGGAACGATGGCCAGAACGATGGGCGGAAAGGTTGGACGGAGAGGCGATCGCGGTTAGGGATGGCGGCGGCCGCGGAAGTCGGGTGAGTTGCCGCGATGCGTGGCTGAAAGCGGCTCGACAAACATGCCGAACGGATCGGGAGGACGACATTTGATTGAAGAGGGATAAAATCGCCGCCTCGTCTTCTAGAAAAGGGAGAGAGAGGATCGTAAAGAAGGCTCTGGTGACGGGTCGCGCGGTGGGAAAAGCGGGACGAGGTGGAAGGCAGTTGGCGCAGGGAGGAAAACGCGCGTGCGGGGTGTGCGGGAAGGCGGGATGCGCGGAACGAGATCGTGCTGGTGAGCGGAAGATTGAGCCAGGAAAGGGGAGATGGGGCGGGCGGTGGGTTGGTGGCCTGAATTCGCGATCCGGGGAATGGCGAACTCGCGATGAACGGCGGGGATGAGGCGGAAATGAAGGCGGCACTGATGGTGGTGGTGGAGATACGAGAAACGGGACGTATGTGATACAGTGCCTCTTCGACAACCAAGATGAGCATTTTAACAACTCTTTGAAAAAGGAAGTACATAATTTTTGTCAATACGGAGTCACAACATGCAATCGGTTACAAGTCATCGTCCTCGTCTTCCATATCCTCCTCCATTTCCTCCTCGATCAAATCCTCATCCTCCTCCTCTATCCCTTCTCCATTGTCATCCAATTTCATCTTCCCAGTTCGTCTGGCCAAAGCATCCTTCTCTCCCTCAGAGTCCGCATGAAACCGGGCCATCTCCGCACTCTGCCTCTCCGCCTCTTTTTTCTCCTTCTCCGCTCTCATCTTCTCCAAGTCAACCCTGCATGTCAAGCAGGTAAATAAGGAAAGGAATACACAACTATCAACCAGAGCCCGCTCGAAACCGGGCCATCTCCGCACTCTGCCTCTCCGCCTCTTTCTTCTCCTTCTCCGCTCTCATCTTCTCCAAGTCAACCCTGCATGCCAAACAGTTCAATGAAACAAAAAGAATGAATAGTGCTTGTAGCAATGTAAAAAAAGGAGTCCTGTACTGAGCTATGGAGGCCACAATTAGATAAGGAAATGGAAACGTACTGCAGTCATGCCCGCAACGTGCATATCATATTGATATGCATCCAAAAAAGGCACTCTTCTTTGGCCGCCCTGGAAAAAAAGCTCTCACCTGTAGCCTTCCGTGTACTCTATTCTGGCCGCCTCGACAGCAGTGAAAAACTCATTGATCCCCCCTCCTGTAACAGCTGAGACTCCATCGGCGTGCAGGTTGATATATACCTTACAGCAACCTGTAGCCTCACCTGTAGCCTTCCATGTACTCTTTTCTGGCCACCTCGACAGCAGTGAAAAACTCATTGATGCCCCCTCCTGTGACAGCCGAGACTCCCACAGCGTGCAAATTTGAATAGAACTCGTCAAGGGCGAGGCAGAGGGAGCGAGAGAGCGAGGCGGCGTAGGAAGGATCGCGATCCACTGCTGCTTGGAAGGCTTCAAAGTCCCGCATCCACTGGTGGGAGAAGGGGGAGGGGCATGGGGGAGCATGAGACAGAGGGAGCACGGAGAGGCAGAGGCAGCGGGAGAGCGAGGCGGCGTAGGAAGGATCGCGATCCACCGCTGCTTGAAACGCTTCAAAGTCATGCATGATGCATCCATTGTTAACAGAGGCGGGGCGATGGAGGAAAGAGGGGGGAGGGAGAATAGGAGGGGGGAAGGACTGTGGAGGGTTACCAAGCATGGGTTACCTTCAGCACAGGGCATCAGCTATTTGGGAAACCCAAACCACTCAAACCAACCATGGGCTCCAATCAACTAAACTGCACATCCCCACGCTCACCAGAACCCCCACATTCAACCTTTTACCTATACTGCATAGGCCATCAGCCACTAAACTGGAGACACCTGTTATAACCAAAGCTGCGTCCCAGACTCGAATAACCTTAAGCTGTGCATACCTCAAAACACCCTTAAACCCCTTATACCTCAATAGCAAAGTCGTGCCGTGCGACGTCGGTCTTGTTAAACGCCAGCAGCAGCGGTAACTGCGTCTTGTACAGAATCCCAAAACCCCTGATACCCCAAGTAACCTCACACCACGGTATACCTCAACGGCAAAGTCGTGCCGTGCCACGTCGGTCTTGTTAAACGCCAGCAGCAGTGGTAACCGCGTCTTGTACAGAATCCCACACGCGTAAAGCATGCTGCTTATGAAGGTGCCGGGATTTGCCGCCCGGGGAGTGTCCACTACGAAACAAACGGCCGTGGGAAAGGTGGAGGCGAAGGCTTCGGTGATGATTGCTCCGGAAGCTGACCAGGTGAAAATTTCAATCTGCCCGGGCGTGTCGATGAAAACGTAGTCGAGCGAATCGGCTCGACGTTCCACGAGGGTGATTACCTGAGAAATGGAAGGGACAAGTGTGAGAATAACGGGAATGAGAAACAGTGGAGAGGAAATGAGATCCAGCAACGTTAGAATGGCCCGGGCAGGCGTGTCGATGACAACGTAGTCGAAATGGGAAACAGTAGTCGAGCGTAGTCGATGACAACGTAGTCGAGCGAGTTGGCTCGACTCTCGCAACAAGTGTGATCACCTGAGAGGTGTGATGTGACAATAATCAGAACGGGGAACAATAGTGAAGTAGCGAGGTTCAGGAATGCTAAAATGGCACCGTTCGGCCCAAAACCATACGCTTCCATCACGTTCGTGTGTGATAAGTCGAGTTTTGAGTGACTGACTAAAACTCAAAACTTGACTTATCACACACGGACGTTAAAATGGCACCGTTTAGGGTTCCAAACCATATGCTTCCATCACGTTCTTGCAGTTGACCGTGACTGACCGTGCGTGACTGACCGTGAATGACCGTGACTGCCATTGACTGGCCGTGTTTGATTGTGTTTGACAGTGTTTGACAGTGTTTGACAGTGTTTGATTGTGTTTGACAGTGTTTGACCGTACCTCATCAACCTTTGTCGTAAGCAGGCTCAAGGAGGTGAGAATGGCCCCATTCGGCTCCAGCCCATACTCCTTCATCACATTCTTATAGTTCACCGAGTCCCGAATGTCAATGTTGGCCAGGTAGGGCACAGCCGGGCACAGCAGGGCACAGCAGGGCACAGCAGGACAGCAAGGCACAGCCGGGCACAGCAGGACAGCAAGGCACAGCCGGGCACAGCCGGGCACAGCAGGACAGCAAGGCACAGCCGGGCACAGCCGGGCACGGAGGCACAGCAGGGGTTGACGGCTACATACCTCGTCAATGTTGGTCGTCAAGAGATTTAGAGAAGCCAATATAGCTCCGTTCGGCCCGAGCCCGTACTCCTTCATCACGTTCTTGTAATTGACGGTTTCTCGAATGTCAATGTTGGAGAGGTAGGGCACGGAGGGCACAGCCGACATGGCAGGGACAGCAGGCACAGGCACAGCAGGTGGATAAGGCTACATACCTCGTCAATCTTGGTCGTAAAAAGGTTCAGTGAGGTGAGAATGGCTCCATTCGGACCCAGCCCATACTCCTTCATCACGTTCTTGTAGTTGACGGTGTCTCGAATGTCAATGTTGGCGAGGTAGGGCACGGAGGGCACAGCTGGGTCCAGGTTGATTAGGTAGTGAGCTATCTTGCTGCCATGCATGTGAGCGTACAGACGCTGCATGAGAGTCGTTTTGCCACTGCCTGATGGGATTTGAGAGGGGGGCATAGGAGGGCAGAGGAGGGAAGATGGGGGCACGGAGGGCACAGCCGGGTCCAGGTTAATGAGGTAGTGGGCGATTTTGCTGCTGTGCATGTGTGCGTATAGTCGCTGTATGAGAGTCGTTTTCCCAGTGCCTTTTTGGGGAAAAGAGCACGGAGGGCACAGCAGGGTGGAGGTTGATGAGGTAGTGAGCGGTGCTGCTGCCGTGCACGTGTGCGTATAGGCGCTGCATGAAGGTGGTTTTGCCACTGCCTGATGAGGGTGGGGGTGCACGGAAGGCAGCGGGGAGGACAGACAGGACAGAGGGCACGCAGGGCACAGCAGGGTGGAGGTTGATGAGGTAGTGAGTGGTGCTGCTGCCGTGCACGTGTGCGTATAGGTGCTGAGCGATTGCTGCCGCGCATGTGAGCATATAGGCGCTGCATCAGGGCTTGCCACTGCCTGACGCACGTTTAGGGTTCGAAAGGGGGGAGAGGGGGGAGAGAGGGGGAGGGTGGGGAGGTGGTGGAGTGCTGAGTCGTCTTAAAACGGGTACGACGCTCCACAACTGTAGTGTTGGCGCTCTCTGTTTATGTTTGGGGTTTGTTTGAGGGGTTTTTGTTGGGGGTTGAGGGGAGAAGGGAGAGGGGAGAGGGGAGAGAGACGGCAGAGAACAGGAAAGAAGTAAGAGAACAAAAAAAGCGGACGGGCGGGGATAGGTGAATTGAGTGCGATGAAATCATGCAGAAAGGATTATGCTGGAATCCTGAAAGCACAAGGACATCACCAGGGGTTCAAGATTCCTGGGTTCGGTTACAGCCAGGCAGTATCTGCCAAACCCTAAACCCGCGGCATCACCAGGGGTTCGGGTTCGGGTACACCCAGTGAGCGATTTTCGAGAATTCTAAAAAAAACACACAAGAATTCTCAAATATCGCTCACGAACCATTATGCAGGAATCCTGAAAGCACAAGGACATCACCAGGGGGTGGGGTTTAGTAAGACAGTACCTGCCATGCCCACCACAATCACAACCACTGGCTTCTTCCGCCCGCCCCCCTCCCCCTTCTGCTCCGCCTGCCCCTCGGAATTCCCGCTCCCTTCCCCCTGCTGCTCTGCCGGCGGATTCCCTTCCGCCTGCGCTTCCGCCTGGCGCGACGGCGCACTCCCTTCCCCCTGCGCTTCCGCCGACCCTGCGCGCGCGCTCCCTTCCCCCTGCTGCGACCCGCTTTCCCCAGACCCCCCTTCCCCGAATTCACCTCCCCCGGTCCTAGTTTCCCCAGTTCCACCTGGTAGATCGTTTCTACCTGCGGACGACATGACAGTGCGGCGTTTCGCAGGCTGATCTGCGAAACAGTTCTAAGAGCTTCCGGGTGTAGGATCTACCTAAAACGAGTCAATAAGTCTACAAGTCAATGAGACTACGAGTCTGCGAGCTTACAAGTCAACGAGCTAATTCTCCGAATTGAAATTGGGCGCCTGTGGGGGAACAGACTAAGGGCACTGATTGAATAACCGCTGACGACAATGCACGAAAATTCGTAGGCTGGTACTATCTAGCCTTCTTGAAAGCTACAGGTGCATTGTGGTGGGAAGGTCAAATGCGTACGCGTTTCGAGCAGCCTTTTGTAAAAGACAAACCTTTGAAAATATAAAATATGCGAATCTCGATTAATTTCAGTATCTCGTCTATCCACCCTTCATTTATCCCGCCTTGCTCAGGTATTCATCCTGTCTCTGGTTTTACACACGTGGTAGCGCTACTACCACGAGCAGCAACTAGAGCAGGGGGAGAGAAAACGCAAGCCTTATTTTGGGGCATCAACCCTAAATATCGGGCAGGTTTCCGTATTTAGGGTTAACTCTGATTCGGAATCACCTCCAAATCAGTGAGGTCTATCGATTGGAGCGAGCGACGGTCGTTTCTGCTTCCAACCCCTGCGTGTGTGCTTCCCTGCCATTTCTCCCACTACAGTTGACAGAGAGTCTTGCGGCAGCAGGAAAGAATCATTCTAGACGAAAATTTTAACCCTGCAACTTCCGATATCCCGAAACAAACACCCTGGTTGACGAAGCTGCGGGTGAGGGAGGGTAGGTCACAACACAGGTCTGATTACCCCTGCTGGCTGTCAAACATATATGCTTAGTTATATCTAGGCTTAGTTTATGTGTTTATAGTTGTCTAGGCTATAGTGGGTTTAGCCTTAGGGGGTACAGATTTCTCTCGACATTCTACTTGTACCCCTTCCCTTTTCCTAGTCAATCACTTCTCGCCTACTATTCTCACATGGTATTAAGAGCATTACCTTCCTAGGATCCTAACTTTAATGGGCCCACCACCTAGGTAACTGCTAGCCTAGGCCCCGTGGCGTCGCCTATAGCCCCTAGGCTCGGCCCCTTGGCCCGTCGCCCCTAGGCTCGGCCCTTTTGGCCCGTCGCCCCTAGCTCGGCCCTCGGCCCCGTCGCCCCGTCGATTCCGTCGCCTGCGCCCGGCCCTTTCCGTCGCCCCGCGATCGGCCCGTACCTAGCCTCGCGCACGTCCCCGTTCCTAGCCCCGCGATAGGCCCGTACCCGCCCCGCGATTGGCCCGTACCCGTCCCGCGCTCGGCCCCGTTCCTAGCCCCACGCCCGGCCCGTACCTAGCCTCGCGACCGGCCCGTACCCTGCCCGCACACGGCCCCGTCTCTCGTCCGCGCTCGGCTCGTACCTAGCCCCGCGCCCGGCCCGTACCTAGCCCAGCGCACGGCCCCGACCCTAGCTAGCGCCCGGCCCCGTACCTAGCCCGCGCCCGGCCCTGTCTGTCGCCAGCGCCTGGCTCCGTACCTAGCCTCGCGCCCGGCCCCCCGTCCTTCGCCCAGCGCCCGACCCCGTCTCGCGCTCGGCCCCGTACCTAGCCCCGCGCCCGGCCCCATTACCTGCCCAGCGCCCGGCCCCGTACCTACCCAGCGCCCGGCCCTGTCCCTGCCCAGCGCCCGGCCCTGTACCTGCTTTGGCCCCTTGGCCCCCCCTGGGCCCCTTGGCCCCTTGTTTGGCCCCGCGGCCCCTAGGCCCCTCGGCTCCACCTCAGAGACCGGCGCCCGGCCCCCCCCCCCCCGGCCCCTTGTTTGGCCCCTCGGCCCCCTAGGCCCCTCGGCCCCCCTAGGCCCCCCGGCCCCTTGTTTGGCCCCGAGGCCCCTAGGCCCCTCGGCCCCACCTCAAAGACCGGCGCCCGCCCCCCCGGCCCCCTGTTTGGCCCCTCGGCCCCCTAGGCCCCTCGGCCCCACCTCAGAGACCGGCACCCGGCCCCCGCGGCCCCTTGTTTGGCCCCGCGGCCCCTAGGCCCCTCGGCCCCACCTCAGAGACTGGCACCCGGCCCCCCCCCCCGGCCCCTTGTTTGGCCCCGCCGGGCGCAGGGCGAGGGGTCGACGGGCCGGGCGCGTAGGCTAGGGGCGACGGGCCGGGCGCGCGTAGGCTAGGGGCGACAGGCCGGGCGCGGAGGCTAGGGGCGACGGGCCAGGCGCGCGTAGGTTAGGGGCGATGGGCCGGGCGCGCGTAGGCTAGGGACGACGGGCCAGGCGCGCGTAGGCTAGGGGCGATGTGCCGGGCGCGTAGGCTAGGGGCGACGGGCCGGGCGCGTAGGCTAGGGGCGACGGGGCCGGGCGCGCGTAGGCTAGGGGCGACGGGTCGGGCGCGTAGGATAGTGGCGACGGGCCGGGCGCGCGTAGGCTAGGGACGACGGGCCGGGCGCGCGTAGGCTAGGGGCGACGGGCCGGGCGCGTAGGCTAGGGGCGACGGGCCGGGCGCGTAGGCTAGGGGCGACGGGGCCGGGCGCGCATAGGCTAGGGTCGACGGGCCTAGGGGCGACGGGCCGAGGGGCAGTGTAGTGGTGGGCCCAAGGAAAAAAATTTGGTCCTAGCGGAGGACCTGCTCTGAAACCATGTCAAGAGAATGAACGAGAATGAATGAACTAGCAAAGAGTTGGGTACAAGTACTAACCCTAATTGGGTTGTACCCCTTATGGGCAACACAAATGTAAGCTATACATAAGTTTGTCAAAAGGCGAGGGCAACAGTCAAGCGGTGATCACCCCATTGGACGCACTCACACATGACTTCGAAGAGGAAGACAGGCAGCGAGCGACAGTAGCGCCAGTTGCAGTAACGACGATCAAGATTAAACCCGTCAACCCGCCCCCGTTTAATCCTACAGACAAGACGACTACAGTGAAGGGGTGGCTGTTCGGTGTTGAAGTCTTTTTCACTGCAGCAGGTGTGAACGACGATGCCACGCGTACTAATTACGCGGTTTCACTTCTTCGAGGCGCAGCGCTTGAGTGGTGGCGCCGAACCCTAGAAACGGGGACCCAGACAGGTGTGACACATGCGGTAGAAGGGACCTCAACAGTGACTAATCAAGTGGCGGAACCGATCTTCGGAGTGACCAAGATACGCACGGGGAGAGAGTGGGGCGCAGCCTTACGAGATCGCTTCGAGCATGTATCTGCCTCGGAGCAAGCTCGCATGAAGCTGCGTGCCTGGTCGCAGATGGCATCTGTCCAAGACTACACAGCGTCATTTATGGGCCTCGCCGACCAAGTGGATGACATGTCGGAAGCAGAGCGGTTGGATAAATATATCAGCGGCCTCAAGTACGAGATTCAATACGAGGTCCGCAGGAGCCGCCCGACATCATTCCTAGAAGCAGTACGGTTGGTGGAGTCGACCGATGCGCTGATGCAGTATGCGAGAGCAGCTTCCCGGGAGGGAATCCGCTTTCGTGGCCAAACCCATCAGGCCACGATCAACGCCGTCCATACACCCGACCGCCCTCTTAAGGGACCGTGTTATAGGTGTGGGAAGACAGGTCACTTCATGCGCGACTGCCACGAGAAAACGCCGCTGACGGGGAACGACAGGAAGGAGCAGGGAAATGTGAAGAGTCAGTAATTAGCGGGCCCTTTACTGACTGCACTCCGTCGCCCGAACCCCACCATCCCCACCGAGTCGTGGTTCCGATTCATGCAATCGATCGCACTCGGCCAAATAACGGGGATAATCATGTGGATCACTCTGTGCTGGTTAATGGCAAGGTTTTAAAAAATAATTTAAAAATGTTCGTCGATGGAGGGTCCAGCCATAGCCTCTTCAACTTGGCGACAGCAAAAAAATGCAAGCTGCAACTTGACAGGTGTCTGCCTGAAATTGACGCCCACCTCGTGGATGGGACGCCTCTGGCGATATTGGAAGAAACACGGACGGTTCGGATTGAATGCGGCGACATTTTCGGCTTCAGCATGAAGTTCCTTGCGACGACACTGGATGGCTGCGACGTACTGCTGGGACGTGATTGGCTGCGACGGCACAACCCTGTCAAACATATATGCTTAGTTATATCTAGGCTTAGTTTATGTGTTTATAGTTGTCTAGGCTATAGTGGGTTTAGCCTTAGGGGGTACATATTTCTCTCGACATCCTACTTGTACCCCTTCCCTTTTCCTATCAATCATCCTCGTCACTTATTCTAACATGGTATTAAGAGCAAAAATTTCCTAGGACCTAATCTCAATGGGCCCACCACCTACTGCCCTACTAGCCTAGGCCCCGGCCCGTCGCCCCTTGGCGTCGCCCCTAGCCCCTAGGCTCGGCCCCTTGGCCCCGTCGCCTCGGCCCCCTGGCCCCGTCGACTCCGTCACCCCGCGCCCGGCCCGTACTTAGCCCGCGCTCGGCCCCTTGGCCCGTCGCCCCTAGCTCGGCCCCTCGGCCCCGCTGGCCCCGTCGGCCCCGTCGCCCGCGCCCGGCCCGTTCCTAGCCCCGCGATCGGCCCGTACCTAGCCTCACGCTCGGCCCCGTTCCTAGCCCCGCGATCGGCCCGTACCCTTCACGCGCTCGGCCCCGTTCCTAGCCCCGCGCCCGGCCCGTACCTAGCCTCGCGACCGGCCCGTACCCTGCCCGCGCCCGGCCCCGTCTCTCGTCCGCGCTCGGCCCGTACCTAGCCCAGCGCACGGCCCCGACCCTAGCCAGCGCCCGGCCCCGTACCTAGCCCACACTCGGCTCGTACCTAGCCCCGCGCCCGGCCCGTACCTAGCCCAGCGCACGGCCCGTACCTAGCCTCGCGCCAGGCCCCGTACCTAGCCCCGCGCCCGGCCCGATTCCGAGCCCAGCGCCCGGCCCCGTACCTGCCCAGCGCCTGGCCCCGTACCTGCCCAGCGCCCGGCCCTGTACCTGCTCAGCGCCCGGCCCAGTACCTGCCCAGCGCCTGGCCCCGTACCTGTTTGGCCCCGCGGCCCCCAGGCCCCTTGGTTGGCCCCTCGGCCCCCCTAGGCCCCCCGGCCCCTTGTTTGG